GTTAGTTAGCACAATTTTACTTTTTAGAACAGTTGTAGTTATATAAGGAAATAGAAGAAATAGAACAAGAAATAATAAAGGAATAATCGCGTTATTCGCTATGCCTCGTGCCTCACCCCTTCACTGTTTGCATAGAAATTTCAACTAACTCATGCAATCATGAAAAAGTTTTCGTATTTCAATCTTCAATTAAAGTTTTGTTTGCTCGGCCATCACAGTGTTCAAGTCATATAACAATTCACTGAAATAATGCCCAAAGGGGCTTACAACTATAAACTAGCAACATTAATAACCAGGACAACTCTAACGACATATATATATATATGCACACACACATATACATGTATATGTATATATATATAAACGTTATTAAAATATATTATTAAAATTTATTTCGCAACGATATAAATGCCAATTTAAGAAAAAAAAAAAAAAACAAAAAAAATAAAAGGAATCAAAAAGTCAGTGAGAAGGGAGATATTGAACATTAACGCTGTCATATTTAATAGCAAAACGTAACTATAATTTAATGTTAATGTATTTTCTTGTCCATTATTTTGAATATGTAAATGCGAGTCATTGTTGTATAAGTGAAGTATACGATAACATATAAAATCATTAAAATCAACGGCCCATCAACCGCGGTAGTCGTCATTATCAAGCTTAAAATTATAAATATATACGATCTTCGTGTATGGCCATATATGCCACATGTTTGTGCGTGCGTTTTATAATATGCATATGTATTTCTACATGCATACATCTTTTTATATACGTACTTGTGCATATGTATTTATTTCTCGATATGTGTACACGTGTATACATATATATATATACCATTAATGTGTGCTATCAGCAATTTTATTGCTCTTGTTTCAATATAAATGTGTTTGTTTGTTCAGATGAATATATATATATATATATATATATATATATATATATATATGTACATTCATATGAATTTATGCATCCGTTATATGTTACATATCAAATAATCGCAAGAAAAAGCTATAATTTCTGGTATAAATAGTTTTTAAAGGCGTAGCGCGCAGCAGCGCAAAAACAACGAAAAATTATGTTTAAAAAAAAAAGAAAACGCTATTACACATCAACCGCAACAGCAACATCAGCAAAAGCAAAGTCAACTACAAAAACAGCAGCAACAGCAATCAGTTATTCGTATTGCGGCTGTAGAAATGTGTGTCACTATAAGTGTGTGTTAAAGTGTTGAACTAAAATTGAAAAACTTAAGCAAAATAACTGCAATTTTTGCAAATTTTTTCTTTTTTTCTACTCTTTCTCGGTTTTTTTTTTTTTTGTTTTTTTATGTTGTAAAAAAAAAAAAAAATACCAGCACAAGTAGGCGCAAATGACTATTTTAAACTTAAAAGCATACGCCTATACACACTGTTACATATAATTATATGCGCATATATATACATGTATATTTATGTATATATTTGGTGGCAGCTTAAGCATGCAGTTAGGCCAACGAAATTAGCATCGCGCACATATTCGTTCACATATGCACATTTAAGGATTTAAGGATTTTCCTGTGTATATGAACACACACACACACAAACGCGCACAAAAACATGCATACAAAAACACTCTCATATGTATTTTTATGCAAGTGCCAAGTACTCTTGCACTGTTAGTGTATTCTTACATGTTTACTTACTTAGTGAGTTACGATATTAACACAGCTCAAATCTCTTTTACCTAGCGGTGGTTGCTAGAGCAAAATGTTAGTAGTAGCAGTATTCCTCTAAACATTTCATTTATACACACACACACACACACATATATATATATATATATATATATAAATCGATAAATGCACTACAGAGAGAAAGCAGATATGCAATTTTCGATACAATTACGCATCGAATTGGAAATTTCTGCAGATATACATATATATATATACATATATATATATATATATACGTCCATAGACGTAGTATAAGTTATCATATAGAACAGTTACCGTATACATCAAGAGTTGCATACGTAGTCGTTAACACTATTAGCTGAATAGGGAGCGTTTAGGTTAAAATGTACTAAACATTAACTATTTAGTATAATATAACTGCTGCATACACAACAAATCCACAAACGTATTGCTCTCTATACGTAGCGATTTAGTTGTGTGTGTGTGTGTGTGTGTGTGTACATCTTTACATATGTAAATACTAGAAATTCATTTTGAAATGTGCAAAGTGCATTAAAAATGTGTGATTTGCTGGCCAATGAACATATCAGACACACACGCACACCGTTTTTGCGTGCAAATCAATATATTTTGGCAGTGCTGAGGCATCATTTATAATGAAGAGACAGATGGATAGTTAGTAGTAGTTGAAATAAGTTTAAGAAAATTAAATATCAAGACTAATTCGATTGATTGAAAATTGAATTACCCTAAATTACTCTACTGTACGTAAATGGTTAAAATAGACCCAAATAAAATTTCATTACAGTCTAATGTAACCAAATTTTTCAATTTTTATTGAAAGCCAAATTAATTTAAATGGAAATTATATAATTTTTACCCATCAAAAAATAAAAAAAAATTTAAAAACATATTTGAAAAATTGGAAAAATCAATTGAAAAGAGTTTCGGTTAAGCCGATATAGTGAAAAGGCTACAATTGTATTACAATTAATCATGAATCGCTATCAATGAATGCTAATCTCGTACTACCATATTAGAAGAAAGGCGAAATGATCAAAATAGGTTCCCACTGAGAAAATAGGAAACTAGCACAACATAATAGAAAAAAAACAAAGAATTATAAAACTGATCTGATATGGTTAGGGGTGTCTTAGTTCCAATGTTCTGAATAATATTATAAGTACAATGCATCTTTTTAAAGTCTATTCATACGTAGCAGCAGATTACCCGAAGCCATGTTTTCTTTTGATTATCTAATGGAACCAATAACGCATACATCTTCGGCCTCAGAGACAATCCTTAAAAAACTAATTAGCGCTAAATCTTTTGGAAACTGTTACACAGCTATCTGTCACAATCAGATGTATGTTGTTGTGAAGGTCGTTCAAAAAGTAAAATACAGATCATATGTAGTAGACGGCTTAAATTTATATACCCATGACTGCTATATATCAATCGCTCAACTTGTATGGATTACACATATTGTAAAAGCATCGTTATTTCAATTTCACACGAATATGTTCCAGGATGTATAAATTTTGCAGATCTTTTTATATCTATATATGTCAATTGGGTGACTTAAAATGCGCTCCATGTTTTAAGGAACTTTTAATTGACGCGCAAATCTATGAAGTCACACCTGAATATCCTAAATGTCAAGCAGACATAGATATGTTCCGATACGGAATATCGCTATTAAAAATGCAATATCGGAATTACCGGATAATTGCCATTATTGTAATGAGAAAATTTCGCGTAAAGTAGAGTTTGATGCTCTTAAAGGTCTTTACTCGAATGCAAAAATCGCTCCGCGCATATATAAACACGACTTCATGCCTAACAATAGTGAAAGCATTTATTACGAATTTATTTCATTTATTTTTTTTTTGCTTTTTGTCAAAATATTCCTTTATCAAGTATTTTCGCCATTTTTACTATTCAAGCCCTTAAATATGTACTTTTATAAGATTTTTTTTATAATTAAATGAAATCGAGGAACAAATTGTTTCAAGAATTTTTAATTCGCGAGGGCCGATCGGAAGAAAAATGGCGACAATGACCAGTGCCAGATCTTATGGCTGCTATTGATTGTTTTAACTGCGGGTCGAGCAAAAATTTATTAAATTGCTATAAAAGTTCACTGCAAAGTCCTTTAGATGTTAGTAGAAGAAGTAGGTTTTCTTCTTTATTTTTTCCGAAAAGATTTCTTCTTGAAAGCAGGGATGATATCAAATTTAAACAAACGAACGAACGAAGCGCGTATTACTCAACATTTGTTACAACTTCCCTATCTCGCACCAGTTCGGCGAAACTATTGTAAGGAATCAATTCGGCGAGATTTCTTATATATATGACGATAATTATGTTAGGTTTGGCTACGGCTATTACCATACGTACGCATTTTTATGGTCAAATTTGCGTGAAATGTTAGTGCTTAAAAATACGTGTCTTAAAAAACTAAGAGCTCACCCCACTGCTGCTGATGATGATGACGATGGTGGTGGTATTGGCTTATGGATGCTTTGTATAGTTGTTCAAAGCGATGTCCGTGGTACCGACGGCATGAGCATGATCTTTATTCCGATCATGTATGCCTTTGTCGAGTACCGCCTTCTTCCTCGCCTTTTGAGTTTTAAGCTGTAACAATAAGAGAAGAGAACAAATGAAACCGGTACATACATATTTTAAAAAAATAAGCACAAACACACAAACATAACTGCATTATATATATATAACTGACATAAAAAAAAACAAAACAGTTTATACTTACGCGTTGTATGGTCTCTTCAAAATTTTGGTGTGGTTCCACACGTTTCATGGTACCACAACTTTTCAGCTTTTCGGAAGTCTAAAAAGAAACAAAAAAAAAAAAACTTGATACATAAATTGTGGCATAATTTATAAACCGAGCGAACGAGTGATAGAGGAGGAGAATGAATGGCAACGCAAGACAAAAAAAAAAAAAAAAAAACCAAATAATTTCATATTCACATGCAATTAATGATGTTGTGCGCGGCCAGTTTATAACCAGTTATATAACTAAAAGAAAAATAAACTTGACACTTCAAAAAAAAAAAAACGATACTAAAGAAAACCAGCAAAAAAAAAAAAAATGAGTCAACCAACCGCCGGCAGTCACAGTTAATCTTGTTGTTTGTATAACATCTTTCTCTTTTATGTGTCCGTCTAAGTGTCCATCTATCCTCGTGACTAGGTGAAAGTTTAAAACGTTATCATTAAAATTTTTTACTGTTCGTCGACTTTCAAATATAACAGCTTTGTGTAAAACTCATTGTTTCTATATATTGCAAGGCTCTTGAATTAATATCTTTCTTCTTTCTTGCCTCTTTATTCCAATGATGTCATGCCAAATATACGAGAGAGAATTTTAGGCTTTTAAATTCTAATCTTTAATGAATCACTAGATGCTAGTTCTCATCCGATAGGAAAGGAAAAGTTACTTGAATATATCTTCTGCAGGAATCTCTTCTTAAATTTCATTTTTATGTCAAAGCCCTGAGGAAAATCAACCTGATTTTTCGAAGCAAAATGGTTTCTACGTTGTCACGTGACTATTGCCGATGAAGACACCTTACGGAAGCTGCACACAATAGCACTTAACCTCATCGCCTTGGTATTTTAGGCATTTATCATCATTGCGTTCGAAGCCTCTAGGAATACCAAGTTCTGAGTTTCTGCGTTGTTCCGTTGCGATTAATTAAAAAACCTCCTATCGGAAGCCGATTCGTTTCGATTAATTACGTTGCGATTAATTAAAAAGCCTGCTATCGGAAGCCGATTCGTTTCGAATCTATGTTAACACATAGTGGGATGAATCATACTAATCAGCGTATTACAATATTAATGTTTCGCAACCGTCCAGAAATTACACTAACGAGTTATTCACATTGAAAGTAACGGCGAAGGTCAACTTTCAAACCGATTTCAAATTTCAGAGCAGCGTAGCTGCCTTCGTGATCACCATAATACTTATGCGAATTCTCAAATTAATTTTTTGATTCGCTGCAAGATGAATCAAGCTTTTGCGGAAAATGTAAATAAATTAAGCCTACGAATCTATATATTTTGTAAGTCGCTTAGGGACTTAGCTTACTTGTAAGGATATTGGCGAAAAAAGGACAGCTGAAAAAATAATGATATGACGACACATTTTTGAAAAATAATGAGTAAGAATCCATCTCAGATTTCTAAAGGAATATTGGAAAAATTATGTGAAGAATCAACATAAGCAAGATTCTAAAAGAAAGAAATCCGAGGGACATCTTTTACGGTAATCGTACATCAGTAATGGGGGACTATGCGAATATCTTTTTATATTTGGTAGAATCAGACAAAAGACCCAATTCAACTAGGGTTTTAAAACAATGTTAATATGTATTGCTGATAAACGAGTGACGTGTGACGGGACTTGGCGAATGATAAATGATTTTTTATTCAACGCAAAGCTATTGTGTTATCAATTGGCGTCACATTACTTCTTCGAGTCGTCAATACGGGCTCACTTATTGGCCACAAGAGCTATCGTTTCCAGAAAAATACAAATTTTCGGATTATACGGCGATATGGACAAAATTTTGATTCGCGGTGAGCATTATATTAAATAAGATATACCGTCTCCTCTCTTATAAAATATCATCCAACTGTTCTTTTAAAACGAAAGAGAAGAGAATTGAAATTAATTGAATTTGTCAAGTGTAAATGTGGTAAACGTTTAGTGTATAAAAAGTATTAAGCCTAATAAGGAAACGAACGAAGCTCTCTGAAGCTCTCATTTAATCGGAGTAAAAAAAGTGAAATACAATGAAACTAATGAATGAAGCTCAATATTTTTTAGATTACAAACTAAAAGATATATTATATGTGTCTACACTCTGCGCTTTTCTATGTTTGCAAATTGTCCGCTTAGTTGATGACTTACTCTCGACAACTGTGTATTGTGGAAGATCACCTGTAAATTTTGTTAACATTGCTTTTTTTTTTTTTGTTATTTTTTTTTTTTTTATTAAATTTTTTTATCCTTTTTCCGCTTTTGCTTAACTTGCAATTTTTCTCTACGCTTTAAGAGCTGCTCATACTTTTGTCCGTTATATCTTTTTTTTGGTTGTGTTTTTGTTCTTTTCTTATATCTTGAAAAAAAAATATAAACACCAGGAGCAACAGACAAAAGCATCAACACAGCATTAACCCTAAAAGAAGAAAAAAGGAAAAAAAAAACTACGTTTTAACAACAAAATTTCTGTTAACATCATTTTGTTGTTGGCCATTGTTGAAGGTGCTTTTTTTGTGTACACAAATGTCTTCTCTTCTACATTCGCACTTCTATACAGTTAAATGTTTGTATATATATATATATATTTAAATGTACGTAAATATGTACATTTACGTATATCTGTATGCGTGAATGTATCCAGGATATTGTAGGAAACATTTGTACATCAAATGTACTCGAATGTTGTCCTTTTCGTAACGAGTGTAAACCGCCAATATGTGTGTGGCCATGTCAGTCATGCTGCACCACAGAATGACTTGGACTCGAACTCTATACATTGGATGGATGACCAGCCATTACAGAGATAGTCACATTATTTTGCATACGAGTGTAGTAGATAAGTATGAAAATATATATATATATCAACGTGTGCTTTATTGCATGCAAACAACAATCTTTATAATTAATGTTTTATTGTTGTTTCTATCATTTTTGTTGTTATAGTTGTTACTGTTATTATCGATGTTGTTGTTGCTGTTGATGATGATGATGATGATGTCGTTGAATATCATATTTAAGCACGATTTGTGCTTTAGTTGACCGTACATCCATCAGTGAGTATGTGTTGTAACAATTTACAGGTACTACCTACTACTATATCGTACAATCACTTATTTAATAAAAATTTGTATATGTTTATGCTATGTGTGTGTGTGTGTGTGTAGTCATATAAACGGCGTTAACATCTTATCTTCTCTACTTTATTCACTTAAGACAGACAGACAACAATTCAATAAAATTTCAAAAATTATTCTTCTAGATTTGTTTGCATGCAATTAACCAAACGCTACGGCTATTATAGTTTAAGGACATTTACCCATTTCTAGCTTAAGCAGCTTACAACTCGCTTTTAACAGAGAAAAAGAAATATTTATTAGATTTATGTAT